TCCGCCAAAAAGTAAGAAAACGAATAAAAAAAAAAACAAAAAAAACAAACACTGAATTAATGTTGCTTATGGTTAATTAGGAGTCACGGTGGAGTAATAGATAGTGGTTCGGATTGAGGTAATCGGCAGAGCCGAGTTCGAATTCCAGTCGAATCCATTACATTCACTTACGTGCTAATAAACTTGAGAAAGGTATGAATCCTCCTTTTCTCCCACCAGCTATGGGTAAATAGCGGGACAGACCGGGTTCTATAGCCTTGGATTGCACCAGGTCTACAGCAGAAAGAAATAGCAAACTACTGCGGGAAAAAATCTGCCTCGTCAGTCATGTATCGAAAATTACATGATCGCCTAATTACGTATGACACATAACTGATTGCTGGTATTAAAACCTATTTTTACACTTTCATAATGTTTTGACCTCAGTTTGGAGGGTTAATTATTTGCCCATAGCTAGGACCCTAACAGGTGCTACCACCTCGCGTCAGGGTTGACCTTGGAACAACAGCAACTAAGTGCTGGTTCCACGCTCCTCAAAGCCTTCTGATCAGAGGCCTTGCTGTGTGATGCAGTTTATCGTCTTACCCAGAACGGAAGAATATTCGAAATGAAACGCGAAAAATCCGTCGAAAAGTAAGAAAATGAATAAAAAACACTGAATTAATGTTTCTTATGGTTACTTACAGAATGGAGACAAATTGGAGAGACCAAAATTAAACAAATACAACAATTTAAATATCTGGGAAGTGTTTTAACGGAGGAAAGACAGTATGAAACTGAACTCCATTAGGATCGCGAAAGATGCCTTCCAAAAACTAAGCAAAGAAAGCGGAAAAGCTCGTTAGAAACAAAGAAAAGTGTCCTGAACTGTTAAATGGATGGCGGAGCAAGGTTTAGGAGAGATAACAAAAACAAAATGTATTAAGAGCTACAAAGAACAGGAAATTGTGGAGAGCCATGATCGCCTACGTCCTGAAGGGGCGCGGTAAAGAGGAAAAAAAATTAACCCACCCCTTCTCTGTGTATGAGTGTCTGTCTTGATATTTATCTCTTTTAAAGTCAGCATTTTCTTGATTCATTTTAGCTTTTGTCTGTTGATAGATACCCGTCATTTAGAGCCTACCAATGCTGGCATGAAAAGTGTAATGAGAATATACACAAACGCCAAGGTCCGTTAGCTTGCTATGCCCAAAACATGTCACGCTATCTTTTTATTCATGTCTAAAAGTGGAGACTCAGGAATCTATACTGACAGCAAACTGTCTACATACGGACAAAAAATGAGTTCAGCAGATATACAAAAATAGAAAGGAATGTAAGACAAGGATGTGTCTTCTCACCGGATTTATTCAACCTATACAGCGAGGGAATTCTGAGAGAATTAGAAGTCCTATCAGGATTCATTATTGTTGGTTACAATCAAAACAATATAGATATGCAGATGACACAGTGCTGATATTAGACACGGAAAGGAAACTACAAATCCCCTACACAAGGTAGAGACAGAGGACGAGAAGAAAGGAACAAATATAAACTACAAGAAGACATAATGCATGGTTATCAGCAAAAAGATGCACCCAAAATGCAAATTACAGGTCGGGGATACTAAAATCAAACAAGTACAGAAATTTAAATATCTGGGAAGTGTTCTAACGGAGGACGGAAAGTGAGGTCCGAAGACGTCTTGGGATGGTCAAAGATGCATTCCAAAAGCTAAGCAGAGTATTAGGAGACATCAAAAGTTCGTTAGAAACAAAGAAAAGAGTACTGAACTGTTACGTGATATCTGTTCTCCTTTGACAATCTCCTCAATGATAAAGATGAGATTTGAAACAACAGAAATTTGGTTATACAGAAGAATGCTGGGGATACCATGAGCCGAATATGTACGCAACGAAGAGGTTTTGCAGAGAATAGAAACAAACAGGGAACTAATACTTAACATCAGAGAGAGGCAGTTGAAATTTCTGGGGCACGTAATGAGGAAGGAGGGCTTGGAAAATCTGATACTCACGGGACGGATTGAGAGAAAGAGGAACAGAGGAAAGCAGCACATACTTGATGAACTTGAGTAAATGAATGGCAGAACAGGATTTGGGAGAAATAAAAACTTATTAAGAACTACACGGGACTAGAATAGGATCATCGCCTACTTCCTGAAAGGAAACGGTAAAAAAGAGGAATATTTAGCCAATGGTCGTTCTTTTAAATATGTATCTTTGAAAACAACAGACATTTTATGTCTATTACATGTAATGATCTTTTGTTCTAATATTCAAATATTCTTTCCCAGATGTAGTTGTGTGCAGATAAATTGGCCCAAATTTATCTTGTATAGACCAAAGCTTTCGACTCGCATGAATAATTATCAGTGAGAAAAGTAAATTAAATGTTTTAAGAAATAGGTTTTTTAAGATGTCGTTTCCTATTTTGTGCCATTATTTGTCATGTCACATCGCAACTTTCAAATTGAGTGCAATATCACAGTTTCAAAATCTAGCTGCCCTAATGTACACCCAATACAAAGTTGAAAAGTTCTACTCGATGTAAAGGGTTACTGATTGAGCTTTGTGATACAAGAGGACGAAATAGGAAGGAAATTTTACGAGGATATGGAGGAAGGTAATGTTTTACCCTTGACTTGAAAGGGTTGAGATTGTAGCGTTCAGGGAGTCTGTTCCACAAGGCAGGGAAAAAGCTGATCTTCCATCTTACAACTGGAATACAGGGAGAATGAGTGTGATTCAACTCCGTGGATGTAGTATGACATGTTAGCTTTAAAGACCCAAGAGTCCCTCAAGGTAGAGGGGTTGTTGATTGAGGTGGTTGAAAGTAGATCACGGTTAACCCGGGACTTGAAGAGGTTAAAATAGTCGTGATCGAGGAACCACTCGCTCGGGAGTTTGTTCCACAAAACAGCGGTTCTTGGGAGGAAGCAGTCCGAATGAAAATCCATTTTACTAGTGGAATAGAATGGGAATGGGATTGATTCCATCCTGTTTACGTGGCCACAGTGGGTCATATCTGTAAAGGTCTGAGCTGGTGGAAGTAAGGAATGTAGTGGATAGGCTTGCGACATATGTTCGGTCCATGAAAGTCGTTGGAAACGGCTAATTTCGAGTTTATTTTAAGAAAGGTAAAAATACGACTCAAATGTAAAAAAATGTGAAGTTTACGTAGGAGGTACTGTGAATGAGCGAAATTAGCAAAAGTGGTTTCCGTAAACTCGTGTTGGAGATTTTTTACTGAACAACGCTTTGGGTAAATCATATGGTGTTAATGGCGATCAGAAGCTAACGGTCATAATATTAAACTACGGAAGCCTCTAAAGAAGAGAGGAAAAAGATTGCGCTGCATTTTCTTTTTCTCACCGTAAAAAGGACCAAATACTCCAAACCATTATGGTGGTGATAAGGAACTAAGAAAATTATGAAAATTTAGGTCAAAAACTCCCAAATTATATGATCTACATTGCTATTTTTTCTTATTTCAAACATTTGAGAACATAATTCTTTGAACAATACGGAAATCTGGAAACCTGACTTATCTGAACCAAAAAAAGGTTGAAATATTACGAGTCAAGATCAATTTTACCCCAAACAAATACCACGAATTGGATATCTTGTCGGTAAAAAATTAATTTATTTTTTAAAGGCTTTCTTGCTTTAAAACGGTGTACGTTAACTTTTCATAGAAACTAAAGAAAAGCCCCAGCTTAGCTTAGACTGGTAAAATATTAAGCGTGTGGGTCAGTTAATGAAGAACGAACTCATGACAGAAATTGAACATTTTATTTTTTGCTCTAATGCATGGTTACCAACAAAAGAGACAACCCAAAGAATGAACCATTTATTGGGGACTTCATAGTCAAGTAGGTACAAAAAGTAACCGTGTAGTGTGATAACTGATGATGGAAAATATGGCCCCCAAATCGAAAGCTGCATAGGAACTGCGAAAGATGCCTTCCAGATACTATACAAAGTATTATGAGACAGAAAAATACCGTTAGAAAGAAAGAAAAACATGTTCAATTGCTACGTAATATCTAAATCCGTGAACGCAGCAGTGAGTGCTGGGTGATCTCCTTATAGATGAAGAGGAGACTTGAAGCAACAGAAATGGGGTTCTACAGAAGGATGCTGAGGATACCGTAGACCGAACATAAGAGCAAAGACGAAGTTTTGGAGAAAATGGAAACAAAATGGAAACTAATAATTAACATCAGAAAGAGATAACTGATGTTTCTGGAGCACATAATGAGGAAGGAGGGCTTGGAACATTTGATACTCACGGGTAAGATAGAGGGCAAGAGGAAAAGAACTCATAACATACTTAGTGAGCTTGAGTAAATGGATGGTAGAACAGGAGACTGCTTACGTCTAGAAAGGACGTTGGACATAAAAGAAGACGTCCTGGGTATGACGTTAAACTACATCCAGCAGCAAGGCTTTTGATCAGGATTTGAGTAGTGTGGAACCACTTCTTAATTGCTGGTGTTCCTAGGGCCACCCTGACCCGAGGTGGTAGCACCTGTCAGGGTCCCAGCTATGGGCAAATACAGTGTAACCCGGATATAAGAGAGTTGTCTCCTATATCCGGGTTTCTCTTATATCTAATAGTTTTGTCTATTTTATATACGTTAACACAGGCTCTAATTTGGGACCAGAGAAAATCTCTCTTATATCCGGGTTTCTCTTATATCCGGGTCTCTTATATCTGGGTTACACTGTAGATAACCCCCAAACGTAGGTCAAAATGAAAGTGTAAAAATTGGTTTTAATAACAGAAATATTTTGTAAAAAAATTATTACCAGCAATAAATTTTTGAAGAAAAAATATTACCAGCTATATATTTTTGAAAAAAAACTACCAGAAATAGGTTTTTGAAAGAAAAAAATACCAGCAATGCATTTATGAAGAAAAATATTACCAGCAATAACAATTGTCGGCATTAAATAAATTATTGTGGTTGATATGCCGAAAAACAAAACAAAACAAACATTAAAGAAGAAAAAATTGAGGCCCACGCATGGAGGAAGCAATGGTGGCAGTCAGTGCGCTGAATGAGAGACATAATGCCCTTCACATGTGAAAATAGTTTTGTATCGGAAATATTTTCTTTATAGATTTAAAGGGGCTTAATGGTTAATGAAGACACAAGTTGGGGGTAGGAGAGAACTTTCGAAAAGGACTGACGTGCGGGCTGAGATTGGGGACAGAAAGTGGGGCAAGGGAAATATATGGCGTCTGTTTACTTGTGACAAGTATTGTCAGTAAGCCCAAGCAATTGCTGTACTTACCACCCCCCTTTCCAGCCCTCCGGACCGACATACAGCTGGGAAAGAAAAATAATCACTTCTCATCTGTACCGACACGCTATTATCTTCTCTCTTTTGTCTGGTGGTAATGGTTAACAAGCTACTTTTTGCATACCTTTATCATTATAATGAGTTCGATCCTTACGACGTGATATAAGTTTTAACATTGTGCCTAGTGATTTATCAAGGTTTGAACACCGACATCCGAAATACATCAGTGCCTCAGTCAAGATGTAAGCCAAGAATTTGAATAATAATAATAATAATAATAATAATAATAATAAATTATAAATAAATAATGAAAAATTGTATTGGTTCGAAATGTAAATTCTGTGATAAATATCCAGAAACAATTGACCATCTTGTATCAGGTTTCACAGTGTTAGCACTCACTGAATATAAAACTTGGCATAATAGTGTAGGCCAATATCTGCATTGGAAAATATGCAACTTTTACGGGAAGGAAACTGCAAGAAACTGGTATGAACATCGTCCAGACCCGGTTACAGAGTGAGGACCTGATAACAATTTTATGGGACTTTGCAATACACACCGACAGAACAATGAAAGCTAATTGGCCAGACATTGTGATCAAGGACCACAAAAACAGAATGTGCTTTCTTATTGACATGGCAGTCCCTGCAGATTGTAATGTATCTATGAAGATCTTCAAAAACTATCAACATACAAAGATCTGGAAATGGAAATCTAAAATATGTGCCAGATGAGAACATCAACAATTCCAATTGTTTGTTATTACACGAATCAGAGGGCGAAATATCTACACCTGCTAGATTTTGACATCCCCAATATGTACCTCAGACTTTGGGCTGTCTCTTTTGCTGATGACCATGTTTTTGTTGTCTTACGGGCAATGGGTAGTTCTTTTTTACATCTTTTTCTCGGTTACTTGTCTTATATGGGTACGTGACCGAGTGGTTAGAATGTTCGCATTCTGACAATGAGACCCGGGTTCGAATCTCATCATTGTAGATTTGTCAGGAAGGAAACTTCCTGATGTTATCGGACTGGAGGGGTCGATGCCTTTGGAAAGTGCCTGAAAACCATACCACAGCTTGACCCAAGTCTTGTGCGTAAAATTGGGTAGACGTCGATAACTTTGCACAGTCATCGTGACCGAGGGCGTGAGCGTGCTGGCCTTGTTTAAATTGTTGATCACGCTAGATAACACGCTCTTTCCCAGAAACTGTAAGGTCTGCTCAGCATAGTTGCAGTATAAACCACAGGTGGGCTCTAGTAGGTCTTGAATAAACACGAATGTGCCTGAGCAAGCTTCTGCAATAGGGATTGGCTAGCTGCCATAGAAGACAGGTATCCTCTAATACAAGTGGTTAGCTATACGTACGCACTTGTCTTATAGTCATTTCAGTTTTCCTTGTGAATTTGCAGTCAACACAGTGTCATCTGCATAGAGTATTTTGTTAACGTTACATCTCCAGAGAATAAACCACAAGTCTTCACAACTTCTTAGGATCGTCTCACTATAGAAGCTAAATAAATCCGGTGGGAAACATTCGTCGGACACGTCTTTCTATTTGTGTATATTCACTGAACTCCTCTTCTCTCCGCGTGTAATATGTTCATTCCCAGGAGACGTTACCGATTACTTGAATATATTTCCATGTAAATCAAACTTTCCTGACCTCCTCGTATCGTACTGTAACAAATGCCTTTGTGTAATCTAGGAAAACATAGCTATAAGTCTTTACGCGCTTGTTTGGTTTGGTTTGTTTTACGGCATATCAACACCGACGGGTTATTTAATGCCGACAAAATTTTCATTGCTGGCAATATTTTGTTTTGTCAAAAATCTATTTCTGGTAATATTTTTTTTCAAAAATGTGTTACTGTAATAATTTTTTTCAAAAAAACTATTGCTGATAATAGTTTTTTTCTTCAAAAATTTATTGCTGAAAATATTTCTTTACAAAGTATTTCTGGTATTAAAACCTGTTTTTACCCTTTCATAGTCTTTTCGGGGTTAACTGTTTGCCCATAGCTGAGACTCTAACAGATGCTACCACCCTGGGTCAAGGCAGAACTGGGAACACCAGCAATTAAGAGGTGGTTCCACGCTCCTCAAAACCTCTTGATCAGAGGCTTTGCTCTTAGGCGTAGTTTATCGTCTTATCTAGGACGCGGATGTAGTTTATTGTCATACCCAGGACTCTATGCGTTTGTATTGCTCGCACTAATAACATTCAAATAAATAAAAATTGTATCTCTATTTTCAGCGTCTTGAACAAATCCAAATTGTTATGATACTATTTCCGCTCTTATTCTGCTACAAACGCTATTCTTTGGAATCCTAATGATTAATTATGTGGCTTATCACGCTGAATGTCCGGTAGAGTTGGCATTCATTTGCAATGGGTTTCTTTGGCAGATGTATGAAAATTCACCTACTGAGATCTTAAAGTATCTGTCTATATTTCTGAGATGAGGTATTATGTACACTATTTACATTACTCGGACTATTGTCCTCATCTTTGTTGCCATATTTATCACAACGTTTCGGCCGTTGTACGCTCCGGCCTTCTTCAGGTGGTTGGGATGTCCTTAAGGCCTCATGGCACAGTGGATAAAGGCGTTGGCTAGATCCACTGACAGAACCCAAAGAGTTGTGAGTTCAATAGCTGGTTAAGATAATGGAGAACTTGGAGAGCTGATTTAACAGGAGATAACTAATAACTTACATCCATTAGACATGGCACGTGGAACTAGAACAGTCTACCCTATTGAGCGAAATAATGGGTTCAGTTCGACATTCCAACCACCTGAAGAAGGCCGGAACGTACAACGGCCGAAACGTTGTGAGAAATATGGCAACAAAGATGAAGACAATAGTCCGAATAATGTCAATAGAGAGATCTTCCAGTATCTCACCGGCGTTGTATATTTTTTGTCACTTCAGTAACCTTATCAATCTCCAAATTATTTAAGACAGTCACCATCTCTATTACAATCTCATCTGGTTCTGCAAATTTATTCCTCTTCATCCAGGATAGTGCTATATAATATATATCGGTAGAAAATTGTAAACATTTCAATAGTAATTAATTCAACACATACAAGAATTTTATATATATATATATATATATATATATATATATATATATATATATATATATATATATGTATGTATATATATGAGAAAGGGATGGAAACATTATTTTGCGGATACTCCTATTTGAATCGTATTTGAGTCTGTTCAGTTTCGTATCCTAACGTGAACAAAGCCATTTGTAAAGAAAGGGATAGCTTTTTTATTTATTAATCCGACAGATTCGGCTTTGCTTCGTTATCGATTCGCTTCGTAGCCGAGAGGTTAAAGCACGCCAGATCTAATGATGATTTCCCCCTAGGGGAACACAGGTTCGAATCCTGCCGGAGAGCTCTTATTTTTCTCTAACATTTTTCGAATACTCAGGGCAGTAGGTGAAAATAAATATACTGTTTAATAAATAAACTGAACGTCTCAGAAGAGAAGAAATCCATTAATCAACGAATGAATAATCTTTTATTGCGAGTGAGAAAGTGACTGACAATATGTTTATTGGAAAAGCTTGTAATGGCATAAGTATATTACAAGTTTGTAACGCGGATACATCAATTTGGAGCGGCGTTATCTCGTTTGTTGAACTCCGCTACTATCATGTGTTGGGTAGAGATATATTTTTATGTGAAAGGTTGTTGTAGTGAAGGTATTACTGATGTTGTATGAGATTATTTTTTTCGAACAGGGGATAGTGTAGTGTCTTGTATGTGATGCGTGATATGCCTGAGGACGTGTATACCTGGGGACATGTCTCGATTCTCTAGAAAATCAAGACAGGTCTTGTCACTATGGCATATCACGGCTGAAAAGAAAAATAAGAGAAAAAAGGCTTTGTCTCTTTTCCTTTTATACTGTTTTATACAACGCGACGTGGCGCGTACCAGGGAAAATTTTCTGGAAAACAAGATAGGACAATCCAGAAACTTTTTATTTTAATACCACAGGTCCTTTTATCTTTATGTATTAACGTTTCTCTCAGTTTTTGTCAGGGAAGAGCTTGTAGTGAGTCCCGATAAAAAAAATATATAAATAAAAATAAAAAGAATTCAAATTAAAATAAAGCATTTGCGCTTTCCTTTAAAACGCTTCTCTCTCTCTTTCTCTCTCAACTTCTTTTTTTTTTTATTACTTCCCTCAACCCTCAAATAAAAAGAAGAAGAAGAAAAGACTGAACCAGGCAAATACACCGGCAGTTTGCAAGATCAGGGTCTACTTATTTGTGGATAAATATACCAACAATCAGAGAGGTTCCACACATAACTTCCGTTATAAAAAAAAGAAATGATAAATGAAAGGAATGCCGGAAAATAAAATAATTTTGGCCAGCCAAAAGAATTGACACAAAGAGATTTTTGATGTTTGCCGAAAGCAATGTTTGCGCCAAATTCTCGATCCTGGTCAAAAGGATATAAACCTCTAGGCTAGAGGCAGATGGGACGAGGAGAGGACGGAACAAAAGAACGCCACCGCGTAAATATCAGCCAGGCGTGACGCTGGAAGAAGTAGTTAAGCAGTCATTTACTACTGATATGTCCGCCCTGAATAGAACCGAAAAAAAAACTCAATAGATGAACATTGACCTAATTCCTGATATTACTACTATTTCTGTCTATATCTCTGAGATGAGTTATTATGATTACTTATATTATTTATTTTAATTACTTATGATTACTTACA